CTAGAAGGTTTCTCTTCTGCTGCACTCTTTTAAATGTGACAGAAGCCTTTTGTTGAATACTTACTATGTGCAGACAGTGCTCAGTGCTTTTCCTAGCTCATGTATTCATTCATTCATCAGATTTGAATGAAATCCAGTACATGGCATGGACATGAGAGAGACTGCTCTCTCAGTACTAGACATTGAACTTGGGGCCTCTCACTTGCGAGGCAGTTGCCCTACCACTTAAGCCATGCCCCTAGTCTTCTCTTTAGTTGTTTTTTAGATAGGGTCTCTCGTTTATGCTTAGTCAGCCTGGACATTATGCCTCCTGGATTGAGATGGGATCTTGAGAAACTCCTGCAATCCTCCCAATCTGCCTCCCAAGTAGCTGGGATTACAGGTGTGAGTCCCTGCACCTAGCCTTTGTCTGATTTATTCTAGCCTTTGTCTGATTTATTCTACTATAACCTTTTGAAGATATAACCATTATTATATACTCATTGAACAAAGAGGGACACATTGCCTGAGAGGTTAAATAACTCGCTTGGAATCTCACAGTCAGTGGAGGTGATGGAACTCAAATCCAATTCTGAATGCAAAGTGAGCTCATTACCACTATTCTGTGTCATCCTTATTATTTTTGTATGAAGTTTAGCTTCTCATACCTTTAACAGAATGTAAAGAATTGGAAGAGAGAAAGGTAAAAATCAGTTGGAAACCCACTCCTGTGTTTAACAGGCACTTCCTTTGGTGTTTCTCCATATATCATTTCATTTCACACCACAGCCCTAGGAAGTATTTTTTTTTCAATTTCATTTTAAAGATGAAGAATCTGAGGCTCATAGTGATTGGGTGATTTTTCCAAAGGCACATGGCTTGGAAACAGCATAGAAAAACTAAATCTAGGCTTCAATTTCTATTTTTTTCCCTCTGAACCTTTGCTCCTCCCCCAAATGATTAAGATAGGGAATTTTATAAGGAAACACAAGCAAGATTGGGGCTGTATAACCTGGAGAGGAGAAGTCTGCTGGGTGGCATGGTGGCTGTTCCTTCAAGACAGCTGAACTGAGAGTCTGAGTCTGGCTGTGTGCTATCCATCAGGAATTGCGTCTTGACTCTAAAAATACTGGGGTGTGTGTCAATAAAGAGTCCGAGGACTTACCTTCCCTGAAGAACCAACGCTTAATGTCCCAGGTAAATTGAAGAGAGCCACTGGGCAACTGGGGACCCTGTAGATAGTCTTATATAATGCAGAATTTTACACAGAAATAGAAAGCTTGAAGTGCTCTGGCCTGTAAATGGCAAAACTGCATGTGAGCAAGGGCCTTGGCTTGCGTCTCCCTGACCTAGACCTGGTTTCACCTGCAGGGATGGACTCTTTCCAGAGAGTCTTTCCAGCTCATTGGCTCTGTGTGTCTGAATGTCTGCTCTTGTTCAGCGTGTGTCTGTTACACTTTCCCATCAAATGGCAGGGAATGACTTCTGGGGTGCAGTGTGTGTGTGCATGAATGTGTGTGCATGTGTGTATGTGCCTCATAGTTAGTATGACATTTCTTTGACATCTCATGTTTTGCCTCAAAAATGAATGAAATTTGAATCTTACTCCAAAATATTTGTATTTACTTTCAATTAAAATGCTACTTTAAATTGCTTATGAAAGAAAATTGATGCTTATTCCATGGCATTTCCCATTGTCCCTGGGGTAATACATACTCCTGTGTGAGAAGAATTGGACTACACTTCCTTAAATTCACTAATTCTGATATTTTCACCTTAACCCGTTTATGACACAATTTCTCTGTTTCCTGGATCCCATGGCTCCTTGGGAGCACTGCATTGTCAAGGGTGAGCTGCGGGTTTCACGGCAGTAATGAATGGATAACCAATCAATCCCTAATGGATGATGTGTGCTGACTACTTTGTGGGCACTTTCCAGTGTTTCCAGGGAAACGATAACAATGAACAGTTAGCAAATATTTTCTATATGCCAAGTATTCTGTACATTCTTAATCTAATTTTACCCTTACAATAACTCTGTGAGATAGGAAGTTCCATTATCATCCCAACTTTACAAATGAGGAAAATGAGACACAGAGCAATGTGCCCAAGTTCACACGGCCAGCAGACAGTGAAGCTGGGATTCATGGCCAGGTAGTCTTATTCCAGGATCACTGAGTTCTGCTTCTCCTCCAGGGAATTTACATCCCATTGACCTGCAGCTGAGAAAGCACACCAGAAATATTACAGTCCTTTATTTCATTTAGCAGGTTTGTAAGTCACCCTATCTCCTGGAGCTTGACATGGGGTCAGAAGTCACAACAGCATTCTAATGCTGCCTTGGTCTTCCTGACTCAGGGGACACCAAAGAAATGGGAGGGGTGAAGAAAGGAGAAAGTGGGGCCTCCATTAGTCCAGGGCTGCCAAGGAGGTATGGATGGTTTTGTCTTAGTGAGTGATAAGTTATTTTTCTAGCTCTTGGCAGCAGAGGTAAGTGCAGGAAGAGCAGATTTGCAGGCTGTCAGGGAGGTGACACTTAAAGAGCCCTTAGCCAGGGCTCATCTTCAGGGTTCCTTGGTCCAATATGAAACATGCATTGTGCCCAAACCTTTACTCCTCAGGCTGCAGTAGAAGTAACAGTTCAGGATGGGCACTGGTGGCTTATAGTGCCTATGCCAGGTTAATTGTTTTTGGCACAGGCACCATCTTTTCCTGGCACATTTTCTGATAACTGGAACTGCTCACCAGCACCTGCTGCTCTGAGTCTTGCCTGTAACACAGCTCACCTGAAGGGAGAGTCAGAACTTTCGTGGCCAATCTCTGAGACTGGCTCCAGGGGTGGCTTTGCTGGAGCTAGGAGACCACTCCCCACTCCCCACAAATCCTTCATCCCTTGACTCATTCTTAGAGTCAGCAATATGAGATGCTTGCTAACTAGAAAGAGCCACAATGAATCAAATGTTGCTTGGAATGAAGGTATGGTAACTGTCCAGTTATCTTCACTTTGGCTAAGAGTTTGAAAGTTATTATTAAAATTTAAGGTTTTTGTGGGTGTTGGTAGCTCATGCCTATAATCCTAGTTACTTGGGAGGCTGAGATGGGGAGGATCAGTTCAAGGCCAGGCTGGGCAAGTGGTTTGTGAGAACCCCATCTCCAAAATAACCAGACCAAAATGGACTGGAGGTGTGGCTCAATCGGTAGAGCACCTGCTTTGCAAGGGCAAAGACCTTAGTTCAAATCCCAGTCCCACCAGAAAAAAAATTATAGCTAGGGACCTTGGTTTAATAATGTATGCAAATAATTTGTTTCTGTTCCACTTATGACATTCTTTCACCCACTCTTCGGTCAGCTCCCTTAACTCACTGCCTCAACATTCTCTTGTATTTTTTGTAGAAACTCCTCATCAAAGTTTAATTCAATATTCAAGTATACATTGAAGGTGTTGACAAATGAAACTTAATTGAGCTATTGTCACATGTCAGGCACTGGGTCAAGCACTGCAGGTGTAGCATGGATCCAAGCACAGAAGGTCACTATCCCTAGAGATAAAAGTCAGCAGAGCTGTCCAATAACGGGTGCATTTCCAGCCCACTTGAAGTGTGTTCCTAGTTGAAGCCCACTCATGTTTTCCACACTGGCCATTCTAAACCTTCATGATGTCTCTCAAGTTCCTTACCAAATGCTCAACCTGGAGCTAGCCAGTGAAGCTTGCCATTCTACTCCACAGAGAATTCTCTTTCCAGTCCCCTTGCCTCCATCTGTGCCCATCTTCAACTTCTTTATCTTTCTCTCAATGGAATGAGTGGCCCTCTTCTAGATGAAGTTCCATTTTTTTCCACTATGGCCTGGATTCTATATGACCAGCTCTTCTGAGATTTGTTCCTTCAGTAATTGTATTGCTTTGCTGTGTCTCCAATCTCTCCACATTCATCCCTTTTTATTGTTCACTCTATATCAACTCTTTAATGGAGCATCCAAGTGCCCCATAGTTGCCTTTACCCTTTGTGTCTCATCTAGGCTTCTAGCAAGTCAGGAAACTGAGACAAGAATAGGGTAAACAGTGTAGCTGTTTGGGCATGAATGTGTCTATGGGATCATGCAAAGCACAGCAAACAGAACTTGGGGTGGTAAGACTAATTGTAGTTTACCTCCTGGTGGGGACTGAGCTCTTAATGCATTGTCAAGTTGGGTAAATTTGTTTTAAAAACTAGGAATAATTGAGCTGCCAGGTTGAAAGACTTAGTAACTCTAGTACATTGTGTTGGGGAAGGCAGGGACTGATAAAATCTCAAATGCTTTGGAGTGATGAGATCCCACCACAATCGATTTCATTATGTGACCCATATAACTGTTTTATGCCATATGTCTATATAAAATAATTAAAGCTAATTAAAATTAATTTTGATTGGTGAGTATTTTAAGAGTTTCATAATAACTCTTGAGATAATTAGAGATGCTTTGGGATGTCACAAAAGGAGCATTTGGAATAACAGGGCTAGATGCTTAAACCAGAAATGTGCAGCAAAGGCTAGCAACCAAATGACAGTTCTGTCATTGAAGGAACACTGAATTAGGAACTAAGAGTTTGAGGTTGAACTCAATATTTTGGTGAACTGGCTGTCTGAAAAACAAACACACAAGCAAACAACCTTGCTTTGTAACATTTGTCAATTTCTGTGGAATAAATATTACCGTCATGGTGAATTTAAAATTATCCGTGGTCCAAAGACTGACTCACACTTAAATATTACATAATCAGAACTTGTAAGGCCTGTGTAAGGCAGCTACAGAATACCAATATAATCCTCACAGGTTTGTGATTTTTGTGTAAATCACTTTAACTCTGTGGATGTTAGTTTTATCATCCAAAAAAGTCAAGTTGCTAAAATAATCCCTAAGCTCTTTTCCAAAGCTGACACCCTGGTAATGCAGATGGTGGTATAGGGCAGGTGTAATGCCATGTTATAAGCTAAAAGAGTTACATCAGAAATTTATGACTTACTGTGATATGTCAGAAAACTAATTTGATATTGAGTCTGCCATATCAACCCTGCTCTCATTCTGCTTTGTCAATGTTTGTGCCTTTCTCTAGTATTTCTTCCCAGAGGCATTAAGAACAGCAGTGCAGCCACGGGGGAGCCAGATTTCACTGCCCAGAAGTGAGGTAAGAATCTATTACCCATGCCTTGAGAATTTTTCACTCTGTTGCTTGGTCCTAGGAGTCAGGTGAAGGGCTGAGAGAAAATCTTAAGGCTTAGACACATCACCTATCTGACCATAAGACCCAACAGTGGTGATTTCCACTGGATCAGTAACTACAGGAGAGGCTAATTTGAGCTAAGCATTTTGAAGGCAAGGACTGTGTCTTTCACATGTATGTGTGTCAAATCCTGGCACATAACAGGAACTCAGTTAAGAGTTTTTTTTTTTTTTTGAAAGAATAAACCTTTGGGCTTTATTTTTTTTAAGAGAAAACTGAATTTTAAAACATTTATTCAAATGGAGACATAAACTTCTCTGTGTTTACCTTGATAATGCTGGGGAAATGTGTTTTCCAAATGTGAGAAATTATTTTTTTATTAGAAAACGTCAGTGCCTTGAGTCTAATATTGGGCCTTCCAGCTGGATAACAGAATTGATTACATATCCAGGCTCCAACAGAGAGAAACATGAATGAGCAAAACCCACACCACGCAATCCAGGTATTTACCTCCTACCTGTGAGTATCCTGTACCTCCACCAGTGCCTTTGGCTCATCTCTTTTGAAGAGAAAAGATCCTATTTACCTTTGACTTACTTGAGAATCACGTGCTGTTCAGTAACATTAATATGGCTTATCTCCAAATTAAAGGAAAAGAAAGTGAGACTCAGAGAGGTTGCTGGCCAATGACAGCGCCAAGAATCTACCGGCACAGGTGGTGCTCTCTGTAGACCGGGCAGCCTCGGGGCTGTCTGGACTTCCTTGCCCTGGTGTCTCTCTTCCGCGTTTGCTGTGGGGGTTTGGATGTGTTCTCACACGAGTGAGGCTGGCTCAGCCCGCATCCAGGCAATCAGAAGCGCCAGTCTCTGAGCAGGTACTGAGCAAATACTCCAAGTCAGGACATTCCCCAGCCCACAGTAGCTGCACCGTACTTTGCCCTAATGAATCAGCTCCATGGAGGCCGGGCAGCTGCAAAGGTAACTAACTGGCTGTGGATTTGAGGGCCAGGTAAGTCTTGGTAGATGTGGCACCTGGACTTTGACAGTCTCCAGGAGGAGAGGAGGCAGACCGGGGCAAGTCCCTGAGCAGCGCTGAAGCAGGTGGGAACTGGCAGAGCAGGTGTGTGGGAACAGAACGTCCTTCTTTCCCTTCTTTGAGTTGGGTTGTCAGATTTAGACAGGTTCTCTTGTCCCTGCTGGGACCAGGGCTCAGTCATGTGAGGTGTGATTTGGCATGACAGATAAAATTTACTCATTTTGAGAATCCTACATGTTTTTAGTTCAGTCTCCTCAATCTGAGATCTAACCTGCTGGAGTTGGTGACTGGCAACAAAATGATGAGATTTCAGTGAAGAGATTGGGTATTGTGCCTTTGTAGCTGGGGACAGGCTGCTGAGTGGAAATAACTGGGGACAAAGTGAAGGCAACTTTTTTCTTGTTCTGCTTACGTATGTGCTCAAATGGTGTTGAATTTTATGGACCCTTTAAGAAAGGCCCAAGGACCCTCACACTTGGTCTTGGGCATTGGGCCTTTCCTCAGATTTGCTGGCAAAGGCAGTCATTGTGCCTGCCTTTTTGAAAGAAGTGAGCTGGCATGGAGAGGAGGACACAGGTTCCCCTGAGCTGTGACAGACCTGGAGGTGGAAGGCCCCTCTGTGCCCAGTTCTTCTTGTCCATCTTGCTGTCTCACAGCTCTTGGCTCATGGCTCTGGACCCTGGCTCCATGGCACCGGAGCAGAATGACATCTTTGCTTTCGCCGCACACCCTTTTGACCTTTTGATCTGATATGAATTTTTAGATGAGGCTGGGAGTTTCAGGAGTGGGAACAAGTGAATAGATTTGATCAAATCTTATAACCTAAAATAGTTCCCAAGGGAGAAGAAAGATGGGAGCCAACTTCACCTGTGTGTGCTGATGCCTCAGGGGGCCCTAAGCAGAAGGAAGGTCTGAGCTGTGCTTTCCCTTGGCACATTCTCCTCTGTCATGTGGCCAGAGGAACTTGGAAGGTAATTAGTTCCTGGAGCTAGTTCCCATGCTGAGGAATGAATGTGGCAAGTTAGCTTGCTGCAAGGGAGAAGTCTCCAGCCAGGAAGAACTCTGAGACCTGGTTCTCTGTTTTCTCTTATCAGCAGCCCTCAACTTGCACCTGTTGGCTTTCTTGGAGGAGGGGCAAGAATGGCCAGGTTCTGAGGTCCCATTCTTGTAGAGGTTAATGTAAGGATGCAGCAAAGGTGTCTTTTGAAGGGATCAATTTAAGCTTGCTTTTGCTTAGGAAATAGCCTCATTTTTATATTTGATAACACCTACTTATCTTTTATTATTATATGCTAGGCAGTGTCTCAGGCACTTTCCATACGTTAACTTTAACTCTGACGATAACCCTGCAAATAATTATTATGGTCTCCATAAGGAAATTGTGGCTTAAAAAATTTAACCAGCTTGTAAGTGGCATGATTAGGATTTGAACCCTGATCTGGATCTCTTCAAGGCCGGCTCTATTTCTATGATACCTCAGCACATCCATATTAAGTGTCATATCAATATTTGCTGGTGGGATAAATGAAGAAACATTAATTAGGATTCCTTGATAGCATTTGTAGCTGTGTCTATTACTGGTATCTGTCTCCCTTGCTTCCCACATCTGTTGTTCCATATGTACTTTTTAATTTTTTAGCAGCATCAATATAATTGTCTAGCTTGTTATTTATTTCATGTCTCAGCTTGAGGTTTTATTTTTTCAGATTTCTCTGTCTGGTCCCATACGGTTTGTTTTAGATAGGGTTTTGACAATCATAGTTGCTCTTTTCATAAAACCTGATCAACCACCATGTTTAGATATGAAGTTTAAATGGTGACTGTTTCTTTTTTGTTTTGTGTGCAGGAAAATAAATAACTACAAAACAGTCTAAAAACCCAAGAGAAATTCAAAGGGTCAGGGATGGAACCTTGGGTTCCCCAGGGCCATCTCAGCCACGGGGGAGGCCCATGGCGCCATCAAAGGATGTAGACCGAGATCTTTGGAGAGGACATCATCGGCTTCTTCCTCACCCTCGGCACAATGGAGAGAGGTTCCATCAATGGCAAGATGTCCGAGGGAGCCCACAGCCCCCGCAGGACCCCAGGGCTGACCCACAACAGCCCCATTATGCAGCCAGGCCTGGGGAGTGGCCTCTACCTATGTCCAGTGCTGACTACTATGAACGGGGTTATCCTAGTCAGATGTACTTGAGGTATAGTTTGAGGGCTTGGAATGGATCCTATTCTCCTAAACTCTTATGAACAGATTGTTCTTTTCCTTCTTCCCTTTCTCCCCCTCTTCCTCTTTTGTTTGTTTGTTTTTGCTTTTTTGAAGCAGTGTCTTGCTGTGTGATCCTGGAGCTTGGGATCACCCCGCCTCGGCCTCCCAAGTGTTGGAATTTATAGGCATGCACACCCACACACTTGACTCTCCTTTTTTCCCTTTCTTCTTTTTTTTCTTTCTCCACTCTGCTCCATTGGCTTATCTCAAACCTGTCCTCTCCTGATTTTTTTTTTTTGTTTTTTTTTTTTGGTGACTGAAGGTAGTATTTCCCTCATTTTATCTCCCAGGGGGATAAAGCAGCCATCACGATGTGATTGAAAGGGCATGGGAGAGTGATAGAGGGTAGAAATTCTTAAGAGCAGTTGAGGCCTTCTTCCTCTGGCAAGATGTTGCAAAAGTCAACACATGTAGACTATGGGAAGACTTTTCTTAGGCCCTGTGTGAAGTTTCTCATAGTCTTTGGATCTCAACTTGATACCACCAGCACCCAGAAGAGTCTCAGTGTCTAGATCAGTACCTGGAGAGTGAGAGACATGCAGAAACTTTGTGCTTAGTGAATGAGAACTTGAAACATTCACCTCAGGGGAGGCAAAAGTAGACTTACAGGCTCTACATTCAGAAGGAAGAGGTCACAGCAAGGTAATTCTAGGATGGAGAATCTGTAATTCTTACTCCCCTCCAAATTCTAATCAATAGCATTGGATTGAATATTTTCTGGAGTATGAAAACATCTATGTTCTACTTTGCCTTTTCCAGTTAAGATGATACATAGGGTTGAAATTATGACAGTCATTTTTATGCCATGCTAAAGTATTGCTTATTTATTTATTCTTTTGGTGGTGCTGGGGTTTGAACTCAGGACCTCCTGCTTGCTTGGCAGGTGCTCTACTACTTGGGCCACTCCCTCAGCCCTTTTTGCTTTGGTTATTTTTGAGATAGGGTCTCCCTTTATGCCCGCAGCTGGCCTGGACCTTGATCTTCCTATTTACACTTTCTGAGTAGCGGGGATGACAGGCACACATCACCATTCTCAGCTTTTGTTGGTTGAGATGGGGTCTTGGGAACATTTTGCCTGGGCTGCCTCAAACAATGAGCCTCTTAATCTCTGCCTCCTGAGTAGATATGATTGGAGGCTTGAGCCACTGCGCCTGGCCCTAAAGTATTATTAATTGATAAAGAAAATACCAACAATATGATGTTCCTTTCAAATCTTTTTGAATTGCTGAATTCCCAAAGGGAGGTATATTAAGGACAGAGACAGTAAAAACAATCAGATTTAAGATAGTCCGACTTGACCTTTTCATCTCCTTTCTATCTGGAATATGCATGGAAATTACAATGCTATATTGGGGTCTTACACAGTCTTCTCAGAATGGGGTCTTCTCAGAGAATATCTAAGTTCACAACTCCTATACTGTTGGGAGAAGGAATTTTACTATTAAAAAAAAGAGTTGTAAGTAAAATAGCTTTCTTTTTTTCAAAAAAAGAATTTTAAATAGAAATTTTGCTTTTAAAATCCCAGCCTTATATAACAAGGACCACTGCCCCCCCTTTCTCTGATTCTGGGTTTTCTGTTTATGGGATCTAGAATGAACTGTGTTTTTCTGGTAGATTCTAGACTGATGTCCATTCTGTCCTCTGAAATGGCTTAGTTTGTCCACTTCTCCCTTGGTTTCTCTCTTTACTACACTTGGCCTCAGATGACTGACCTTCTTTGTGATCTCATAGGCCAGGCTATGAGGATGCCTATCGGAGATGCCACTCTCCAACACTGAGGGAAGAATATACCTATGGAAATTACTACTATCGTGGACACCCACAGTGGCTGCAGGAAGAAAGAGGTATGGAGTGATCTCCAGGAAGCCTTTGGAGGTTGGGAGTGTGCAGCAGGCCTGACAGGCAGGGCAGAGACCACTGGCACCATGTTCAAAGCCTCCCTTTGGGCAGATGAAACCACAGCAGAGAATCGGCAACTCCATGTCTTGAGATTGGAGCTTCTCTTGCATGTGGGAATGGTATGGAAAGTATTCCTGTGTTACTGATACTGTGGATACTTTGCACTTCATCCACATTTTCCTCCTACTTCTCCTTGTAGCCAAGGTTATAGTTACTGATCAAATAATAGTGAAGTCAGTTGGTTCTTAAGGACATCTGCTGTGCTGGCCTGTGATATGAGTCTGGCTGTCACTTCACCCTGGAGGTGGCAGACACACACCAATAGGAGTTTCACACTCTACACTCACAGGGATAGGGGTGTGCTAATGGCAGCTTCTGACCTCCTAGCAGAGAGAAATCTGTTTCAAATGTTGAACACACACACACACACACAGATCCCCACCACTGTGTAGCTACATAAAGCCATGCTAATTGGTTTAGAGAGGCATCTTGGGGACTTTCATTGTTGGTTGTCACCTATCAATTTACTTCAATTTGCCAAATATGTTTTTATACCTACTGCGTTCCCAGTACCTCTGCTTCATAGCTTGATATGTATCTTTTGGAAGGGACTTTCAGAAACAGCAAGTTTCAGAAACACTTTCAGAAACAGCAAGTGACCTGTCTTTATTTTCTTCTCTCTGAGGGTGCAGTGCCAAGGCAAGGGAGTCCTTATATCTGGTATGAAGATTACGGAGAACAAAAGTACCTCAATGAACATCATCGTGAAAACCGGAACAGTCCTTTTGAACAAATAGTGATGCTCAGTTCCAGTAAGTGTGAAAGGGGAGGCCAGTTGGGCAAGAGTTGGTCAGACTGTTAGGCTAATCTTAGGGCATCTGATGGCAGTCCCTCATGTCTGAGAACCTGTCTGGACGTTTGGAAATTATACTTTTATTTTTAGCTGTACCAGGGTTTGAACTTGGAGCTCTAGTCTTCCTGAGCAGCAGATGCTAAGCCACTTGAACCACGCCTCCAGCTCACCTGTCTGCTTTTGGTCCAGCCACAGGGACCTGGGAGCATTCCGGGATGGTGGGGGCCAGCTGTTGACTGACAATACCCTGGGGGAAGAGTACAGATCCTGGGGTCAGGCCTTGAATTCAGAGGTGACTTCTGCTTATGGCCTGTCTTAAAAGAGGACCTTAATCCTATGTTGGCTTCAGAAACAATGTGGCTTTGCCAGAGTTCCTATGGTTTGTCCTGCCTGGGGCTGGAGTGCTTCTCCCCTGCCCCTTCTGGGCTGTGAGAATGGAAAGTTCCCTTGGCAGAATAGGGACGAAATATACCTAAGCACCTATCTTGGTGCCCTTAGCTTTGGAATTCACCAGTTCAAGTGCTCTGATTTAAGTCACTCCAGGATGGCAGGCTGTGGAGAGCCACCCTTCTCCACAGGTATGTGCCACTTCCAGTAACTGTGGTTGGAACCTAAGCATTCCTGGTTTTCTGGGATTATTTCCCCTGTGGCAGACAGGCTACCCTGACAGCTGCCCACATCTAGAATCGGGACAGCCTCCAGCAGAGAGCACCTCAGCCTTGCTAACTTGCCCAGGACCTGTCTCACTGCTGCTGTCATTTCACTGCAGATCCACCAGCTGGAACCCTTATAAAGACAGTCCTGCTTCCAGCTCTAGACAGGAGCAGCCTGGGGGGCTCTTTCCTACTCGGAATCAGAAGAATAAGGTAACCTAAAGTGATATGGGGCTGGAGGCCCATGACTGTGAATCAAATGGACCTTGTCATTAGTGGCAGGCAAAGCCCTAGGGATGGGGGTCTCCAGCAGCCTGCTGTCTGCAGGTGCCCATTCCTCCACTCCATCAGAGCCTCCACTCATGCTTCTCTTTCCTGACCTCCTGTTTCAGTCTTATGGCTCTAGGGTCCTGATCTGGCCCACTTACATTTCTGTCAAATTGGCAGGATCCATGTCACTCTGAGAAGAGGCTGCCACTGAGTGGTAGGTGTTAGGGACCCCAGGGCACTAGCAATTTAGCTTACCCAGGAAATGAGACATTATTGAATCTTTTAATTCAGGTTTGAAAAGCAGGGCTTGAAATCTTTCCTGATTCTTTATTCTCTTTACTCTAAAATCTTGATGTGTGCACCACATGGACCACAAGATAGAGCTCTTATTTTTTTCCAAATTAAGTTTTAGTTTTGGAATAGTTTTAGATTGATGGGAAAGTTGCAAAGATACTGTAGGGATGCACTTTTCATTTTTGACAAGCTTGTGTTAATTTTGTCTCCCTGATTAGCCTCCTATGATTTTGTGGATGTTTTCCTCTGGATACCTAGTGCTTGACAGGGTAGGGCACATGTTATTGTGACTAATATTAACAACCCAAGAACAGCACTTTCCCACGTGTGTACAACACTCTACAGTGTATAAAGAGCTTTTAAATCCACTGTTTTTATGCATATCTTCCCAGAATATAAGCTCTATGAATTTATTATATACCCGTCTCCCCAGGAAAAGGTACTTGGAGCATATAGGTGTTCATTAAATAGTTGGTGAATGAATACAAGCAAGTCATCAGAGTCTATAGGACAGATATATTCAGCTATATTACAGATGAAGATATTGAGCCCAGAGAGCCCAAATCACTTGTCCGAGGTCACAGCAGCAGGGAATTGGAATTTAACATGAGGCCTTGACCTCAGGGCCGGCATTCTTCCCATGGGCCATAGTGCTTCCTTTAGCAAACACCTGTCAACTGGAGTGACCCCTTCTTTCACCACATGTGCATGCACTGTATTTATTGGAAAGTTTGAATTTTGGTTCTTTGAAGGAACTCTTGGGAGGACCAGCTCCCTGAAGCAGCTTCCCATGTGTTTTCACGGTTTTTGACTTTCAGCCATCGCTGACCAATAAGTCCAACCTTCTCGAGCAGCATGAGTCTGGCCTGAGCTCTAGCAGTTATGAGCTCAGTCAGTATATGGGAGATATCCCCAAGCAGTATGAACCTAAGGCTTCAGCAGTTTGGAGACCAGTTCGGGCTGGTGAGTACTAAAATGACCATTGGAGTTGGTTGAGTCTGATGAGGAAAGGCTGAGTGACAAGTCTCCAGGAAAGTCACCCTTTCCCTGCATTTCCAGGAAAGGGGCACTGTCCACCTCATTTGCTTATGCAGGCCTCCTAGGTAGAGAAACCAACTTTGGCCTGTGTTCTACCTTGTCTCTTGTAAGGGAGATTACACCATAGCTGGCTCTTAGAAGGGAATGCTGCCTCAGGGGTGCTTTTAAATAACAGGTGAAGAAATTGAAGACCTGAGAGAATTGGGGACACACAACATAATTGCTTTGTCGGGTTGTAGGAGACTTGCCATGGGTACAGAAGCTCTGGGATCCAGAGGTCCTTGGTGTCTCACCCTTACTGAGTATCTGGGCTGAGTACACTACCACTTGGACCAAATTATCAAATCCTTACATTATATTCTGACATATTCTGTGAGGCTTAAATAGAACCAGAGCACAGAACCTGGGCTTCTTCCAATTAGCCCACCCAGAAACTTATCTTGGTCCCTGGTGGAATTTGGTCAGAATCATGTTTGTGACATATTTCTAAACTGAAGAAAAGCAGTGAGGTATTGCTAACGATGTCTTCTGTGTCTGTTGGTCAGGGGATGTATCAGCAGCTGGTCCCAAGACACCCATGAAGTTCTATATCCCTCATGTGTCCGTGAGTTTTGGGCCTGGAGGCCAGCTGGTGTGTTCGTGTCCCAATTCTCCCATAGATGGACAAACAGCTCTTGTGGAACTGCATAGCATGGAGGTAATCAGATCCAGTGTCCCTGGAATGCTGGCACATGACTCACCCAACTTACCCAACTACTCCCCTGCTCCTCTGCGTCCCTTTGCTTGAACCTAGGCAGCTCCGAGAGGGGTACTCTTGTTAGAAACTGGCCAGGGGTGCAGGAATGGGTGGGCTCCTTTCTGAAGGAAGCTTTTCTCTGACTCATCTTCAACAGAATGACTTGCTTCCATCCTCTTGCTAGGGCACTCCATACCCTAGGATCACCTAGTGGACTTGACTGACAGAGGCACTGGGTGGAATAGTCTTGAAGACTTAATTTGACTTTCTGTTTCAGGTTATTCTTAATGATTCTGAGGACCAAGAGGAAATGAGAAGTTTTTCAGGACCCCTGATCAGGTAAAGTACTATAAGAGCTCTGAGTAAAGGCTTTTGAAACTTGGGAAATCTTCCTGCCTGAGTTGTGCTTTCCTTGGAAAAAAATCTATAGCCCAGGTAGAATAAAATTCTCTGTGACACTTGATAGAAACAGATGTGGCCTGAGCCATCTTGATAAACCCATTTGATAGGTTGAAGGACAGAAAGAAAAATTAACTTGACAATTCAGAAATCTAAACATCAGTTCCATTTTGAAGATGTTACATGGAAGAAAGTTTCTTTCTAGGTACTTGGTAGATATTAGCAGAAAAGTAGAGCATAGCCTTGGAAGTCATTGACAAGTGAACCACAATAGAAAACGTTTTGCAACTGTGCCTTTTTTTTCTGAGAAGTAAAAATGTCAGCTTTCCAGTTACAGGACAATGTGCAAGTCTGTCCTCTGCAGGACTGAACTAGAACTGCATGAGCATTTTCAGGCATGCTCTGATGTTGGAGAGAATCCTGGCTGGCAGTCAGAGGACCTGAATAGTGGTACCATGGTGGATAGGTCCATTAGCCCTCTCTGAGCCTTAGTTTTCCCTCTGAGAAGTGCTGTAATTCCCACTTGATTATGTATGTGGAAGCCCTTTAATTATCACCACTGTATACATGTATTTTTACCCTGAAGACCTCCCTCTAAGAAAATCTCCATGTTGTACTTGACAACATGGAGATTTAAGTTTAAATGAGTGTTGTCGCTATGTCTCACACACAGATATGCAGATATGGGTAGAGAAGTGGATTGGGTATTAAACGGTAGGGGATTTGTCCAACTTGGCTTTGGTTTATTGAATGATCTTCAGCAAATAATAATGCCTACTTATTGAGTGTTTAATACATTCCACACAATTTGCTCAGTCCTTTTTATGGAAAAGTAGATTTTCATATTATCTCTATTTAAGAAGGGAAATAAGTAGAGACTCAGAAGAGGTAAGAAACTCGTCTAAACTGAGAGGTGCCAGATCAGATTTAGACTCAGATTTATCTGACCCCAAAGTCTCTTCTCACCTTCTATCCTGTGTCATCACTTCAGATCTCAGGGCCCCAGCTTCCTCATCTGTAAAATGGAATGAAGTCCCCTCCTGTTCTACAGGAAATAGCAGACTTATAACTGGGTAATAGGACTGTATCCTGTGGCTACAGACTTCTTCCCAAGCCCTGGATTGTCAGGCTTCTGTCTCAAGCCCAGCTGCCCTGGGTCTGCACACTGTAGGGTTTGCTAGGTCTAGAGCAGGGAAAGTGCCTGTCTGCCCACCCTTTGCTTCCTGAAATCTCTCCACAGGGAAGACGTACACAAGGTGGACATCATGACGTTTTGTCAGCACAAAGCAGCTCAGAGTCGCAGATCTGAGACACCGGAGAGCAGAGACTTGGCTCTACTGTGGCAACTGCTGGTTCTCCTTTGTCGCCAGAATGGGGTGAGTTATTGCTTTGATGGGCAAGCCAAGTGCAGGAGGACCGAAGTTTTAGTGTTCTGGGATAATAAGAGTTGGTTTTTGGCATGGTTATGGGAAGCAATACTAAAGAAGCTATGCATAGCCCCCCAGGGGAAACAGCTTCGATGTCAACACAGGCTTGCTAATGTGAACCTTCTATCTGATGCTCTTCCCTGGATGAGGATTGTTGGATGGTCCCTGGATTATGGCAGCGGTCAGATAACACACCTGTGGAGTTACGAATGGTTCAAATAAGCCTGACAGGCAGAAAGCAGCCATGATCATGAAGCTGATTTTTGAAATGCAGTAATCAAGACAGGGCAGCTGTGTGTGCATGCCTGGCCTCCTTATGAAGAAGGCAGGTGCCTTCTCTCTCCAGCTCGGGCTACCAGCATGGGGACTGACAGGATTCTCCCCCAGAGTGACCCTCTTTGCCTTGCAGTCCATGGTGGGGTCTGACATTGCTGAGCTGCTGATGCAGGACTGCAAGAAGCTGGAGAAGTACAAGAGGCAGCCCCCAGTGGCCAACCTCATCAACCTGTCCGATGAGGACTGGCCGGTGCTGAACTCTGGGACCCGCAACCTGCTCACTGGAGAGATTCCTCCCATGGTGGAGACACCTGCACAGGTCTTGGAGAAATTCACTAACCGGCTTTACTACGGAAGGAAGAAGGCAAGTAAGCCCTTTTCCCACGCTTGCTTTAGATAAGTGACCACCGTCCTACCCTGCCACTCGTCCCTTCCCTCTCCAATTACAGCAGGTGAGATGTTCAGAAAGGCACAGCGAAGACAATAAAAACATCATTGTGTTTTTGCCATTAATACTTTTCCTATAAAAGATAATACCCGCTAACATTTTGCTACCTTTGCGTTTAGTGTTTTCCCATGTGTGTAATAAAAATCAGTTTAAATTACATATACAAGCCAGGCCTGATGGTGCATGCCTGTAATCTCAGCACTTGGAAGGCTGAGATGGGAGGATCACAGATTGGAGACCAGCCTGGGCTACATAATGAGATGCTGTTTCAAAATAAATGAACAGTCTCCCCTAAACAAATACATTTACAATTGTTTCTTTTTTCTTTCTTTTAAATTTTAGATTATATGGTAATGCCCTGGTAGCATTAAATATACTCTAATAGCACACATTTATTTTACTTTGTTGGTGATCCTGGGGTTTGAACTCAGGGCTTCTACAGCTTGAGCCACACCTCCAGTCCTTTATGCTTTGGTTATTTTGGACACAGGGTCTTCCTTTTTGCACAGGCTGGCTCAGTCTGTGAGATCTTCTTATTTTATACTTCCCAACTGTCACTGGGATGACAGGCCTGAAACACTATGCCCAGCTTTTTTCTGTTGAGATGGGGTCTCTCAAACTTTTTTTTTTTTTTTTTTGCCTGTTCTGGCCTGGAACTATTATCCTTCTGAACTCAGCCTGGATCAGAAGCTTGGGATAACAGGCGTGTGCCTCTGTGCCTTGCTATAGGTTGAGATGGTCTTGAAAACTTTTTTGTCTGGGCTGGCTTCAAACCTCTGTCCTCCTGATCGCAGCCTCCCAAGCAGCTAGGATTACAGATGTGAGCCACTGGTACGTGGCTTATTTAATTTATTTATTTTTTGCAGTGCACGCTAGGCTTGCTCTACCACTGACCAATAGCACCATCTAAAAATCATATTTTATTTAATCTACCCATTATTTATTGAATACATAGGCTATTTGCAACTTTTTCACCCATTAGAAATTATTCCATTTGAACATTTTTTTAAACAGAAGTCATTGACTGATATTTTTATTTTTATTTAAGAATAGATTGCTAGAAGTGGACTTACTGGGCCAAAGAGTATGTACTTCTAAGAGGTTCTTTATCTCTATACCAAATTAGTTTCTGGAAAGATTGTTTACAAATAATATTCCTGCCACTGTATCTTAGGTGGTATGCTTACTGGCACTGAGTGCTTTAGTTCAGCATTTAGATGTAGAGCGATGTCCTGTTTAACTTTGAAGTTGTGCTCATTTAAATATTTGAATGTGGTTAAAATCAATTCAAATCAATTTAATTCCAAATATTAAAGATAATAGGAATGTAAGGATTATGTAAGATTATATAATAAGATCATAAGGAATATAATGGAGAAACAAGATCCCAATTCCCCAGCCACTTGTTTTCTCTCTCTAAAGTAGCCACAGGTGTTTTTGCATATGTAATTATTTTCTCTTTCCTGTTAGTGTACTATATATCATTACTTTACTTTCCCATTTAGCAAAATATCTTAGTAGACAGACGTTGGAGTTAGTAAGCTTTTTCTTTATTTTTTGCTCCCTCCCTCTCTCTCCCTCCCTCCCTCCCTCTCTCCCTTTCTTCCTTCTTTCCTCTCTCTCTCTCTATATATATCCCTTTCTCTCTCTCTTTCATGTTTGAGAAGATCTTATCATGTAACCTAGGTTGGCCTCAAACTCTCAATTGTCCTGCCTCAGTCTCTGAAGTGCTAGGGTTACAGGCATGCACCATCATACCCCTCTAAACATTTTCCGTAAAGGAACAGATAGTAAATATTTTAGGCTTTGTTGACCATTTGGTCTTGTTCCACTATTCAACTTTGCCATTGTGACAAAAGGGCACCTCATGACAGCTGGGAAGCAGTCACAGACAATAATACAAAAATGAATGAGTATGGCTGTGTTTTAATCAAACTCAGTTATGGACATAAAACTGAATTATATACAATTTTCATGTGTAATGAAATATTACTTTTCTTCTGCTTTTTCCATTCATTTAAAAAGATAAAAACTAATATGAACTTATAGGTTGTACCCCCAACAGGCAGTGTTCTGGATTTGACCTCAAACATATTTTGTTGTCCCCTGCCTTTTGTCACACTCTCTCTATCACAACATATATATCACTTTCTATATAATAATTTCCTTATTATTTTTATGGCTGCATTGTTTTCTATGGATAAGCTATAATTAATTTAACCAAGACCCTATAGATTGACATTTAAATGATTTCCAATCTTTTGATATTGCAAACAATGCTAAAATGAATAACTGTTTTTGGCAGCTTTTGCCACGGTAACAAAATAATCTGAGAAAAACAATTTAAAAAGAGGAAGGGTTTAGTTTGGTTCACAGCTTCAGATGTTTCAATCCATAGTTGCTTGGCTCCATTGGCTTGTAGTCAGGCAGAACATAATGGTGGGGAACTCCTGGCAGAGCAGAGCTGCTCACCTCTTGACAGCTGGGAAGTAGAGAGAGAGAGAGAGAGAGAGAGAGAGAGAGAGAGAAGGGTGATGACCTACTTCCTCTAAGTAGGCCTCCCTTCTTAATAGTGCATTAAGCTATGAACTCATCAATGGGTTAATTGATGGATGGAGTTTGTCCTTTCAGCATCCAATCATCTCTTAATAGCTGGGGCCCAAGCCTTCAATATATGAGTCTTTTGGGGGGGACAAAACATCACTGTCATTTTGCCTCATAGGAGACAAATTTCTAGAAGCAGAATGTTTGGGTCAAAGGGCATTTGTTTTAAAATTTTGATAGATGTTGAAAACTTGCCTCTTTAGATGTCACATCAACTCATTCCATGAGCAGTGTATGAGAGTGCTTGTTTTTCACATTCTCACCAGATTTTTCAAACTTTTTATCTGTGCCAATCTGAGAGGTGAAAAAATAAAATTTACTGTAGTCATTTGCATATCTGTTGTTATGAATGAAGTTGAATATAATTGGTGTGAGTTTTCACAGTTTTTTGCTGAGTGATTCACCCTCACATGTTGTTAGTAGGAACTCTACAGATTTGAAAGTCACATATGGGGTCATATTTGAATAGCCTTTCCCTACTTCAAAAATAATTTATAAAAATGAAATCGAAGTTCACTTGTGACTTTAATGTTTAAATATTTAATCTCTTGGTTTTTTTGTTTGTATGATGTTACCTTTTTTGGAGGGTGGTAGTGGTGGCTCTCACTGGCACTCTACCACTTCAGCCAAGGCCTCAGTGCTATGATGTTATCATTTGAGTGAGTACTTGATAACTAGAAAAATCAGTGGAGCCAAATATTCCGTCTAGAGTAGGGAATTGCAGTTTCACCAGTGATTCATTTATTCAATAAACATTTGTTACCACTACTACTCCTAAGGCATTGAACCCAGGGGGGCCTGTAGAGATAAATCAGTTATGAAGTCTTTTAAAAAAGATAAATAATGACTGTCACCACAACAATATCAAAGGCAGATACTTAGAGAATACTTTCTACCTGCTAGGCACTTGTTTGATGTCTTGCATGCATTACTTCATTTATCTCCATAGAAACCCTGTAAGTTAGGTTCTGCTCTTGTCCTACATGCTCACAGATGAGGAATGGTAGTAGACTATAGAGTCAGGTTAGATCTAGGCAGCCTGGTCTTCTAACTACCTCGCCATGTCCCCTTCTACCTGGGCCCCAAGGTAAGTAAATGAGGGATAGATGGCGCATGGGAGGGAGGGTGGCTCAGAGTGATTAATAAGGAGCTGGGTATCAAAATATCTTTAAAACCTTTATTCATATTTGACCGAGGACTTATTTCTGGCATTATATGATGTTGATAACCTTGATATATTAAGTTCTCAATTTTTCCACTTATTCTTAAATTATATTTTTGGAGGGGTAGATTTTCTTGGGAGGGGCAGTACTGGGATTTGAACTTAGGGACTGCATTGGCTAGGCAGGTGCTCTACCTCTTGAGCCATACCCCAAGCCCTTTTTGCTTTAGGTGTTTTAGGGTCTTGCTTTTATGCCTGGGCTGGCCTGGACTGCTATCTTCCTATTTACACTTTCCCCATACCAGGATGACAGGCGTGCACCACCACACCCAGCTTTTATTGGTTGAGATTGGGTCTCAAGAACTTTTTCTTTACCCAGGCAGGACTTGTACCATGATCTTCCTCATCTCTGCCTTCCAAGAAGCTAGGATTATAGGCTTGAGCTACTATACTGAGCTTTGGAGGGACGGATTTTTGAATGAACAGATAAAGTCTAACCAAGCAGTAATAAGCCCTTTAGCAAAAAGAAAAAATTATGAAATAATTAAAATATTCTAGAAAATTAACCCTTTAATGTCATTTTTTACTTGCCTTTGCTCTGAGGCTAACTGTGACTATTTAAATTTGCATGCATGCATGTTCTCTCTCCACCTTCCCAATAAGATCACAGGGTGATATATTGGGATATTTTGGGAGATGGAACTATCTCTTTAGTGACTTCTTTTCCCCAGTTCAAAACCTCACATATAAATTGAATAAAAAGGTGAGTGTATGTGTGTATGTTCTAAAATCTGCAGTTCTAGTCCATCTTATGAAGCTAATTGTGCTATTAATTTGACCTATGAAGTCATGTGATGGGTAATAAGCAATTAATTTTAGTATTAGGCAGGTGGGTTAGTGCCTAAGTGTACTGGTTTCAACATAACAGTAGTTTATTACTGTTCATGTAAGAGTATGTGAACAGACCCGTGGGGTGCCCTCCTCCACACAGGATGTTGAGGGCTCTACCATCTTCAGCCTAGAGTTTCTAAGGTTCTCCTGGAGTCCTTTCCATTCCAGGAACCAGATGGAGTAAAGCACATGGAGGATAGGGTGTGGGCGGTTTTATAGGCCAAACCTATACTTCCATTTCCATTCCATGGCGTAGACTTGGCCACACTCAGGAACCGGGATGGGGGGGGGTGCAAATGTGATATAGTTCTTTGCCCAGGAAGGAAAACAAGGATTGTGGAGAGCAACCACTGGTCTCCACCAGTTAAAAAAGGCACTCTTCCTTAGTAGGTTACTCATGTTGAGACTCAATCATGGGGTGAAGTGCTTTTTTATGCTTGGTACCTAGTTTCTCACAAGTATTTTGTAACTTTTGCTGAAGAAGAATGATCGTGTGTGAGGGGAAGCTGATGAAATGGCAGAATAGATGGCTGGAGAAGTGGACAACACAGAGAAAAATACCATGGCGATTAGAGCCTGCCTCCTCCCCTTCCTTCTTCATGTTCAGATGTGAAGCTCCAAGCATTTTCCTGGAGGCCCAGATCTATTGTTCAGGGTGCCACAGTGCCTGTGTGTGGGAATTTGTTATTTTTCTTGGAGGAAGGTAGGTAAGGCACTATTGATTGTGAAGCTTTGGTTTTCAGGAGGCCTTGGAATGGGCTATGAAGAACCACTTGTGGGGTCATGCTTTGTTCCTATCCAGCAAGATGGACCCAAGGACCTACAACTGGGTCATGAGTGGGTGAGTCCATCTTATGAAGCATACCAAAGAGCAGAGAAGCCTCTGCTGTAAAGGTGGGGAGGGGGAGTGAGGCTGAGGAAGGGAGCAAAATGCATTGAGAAACTCACTCTCCAAGAAGCTTTCTATTTTCTCTTTTATTGTTTCTCATCTCTTACTCTTTCATATAGATCTGTATCTATATCTGTATCTGTGTCTGTATCATATCTATATCTTTATCTATACCTATCTCTATCTCTATCTCTATCTCTATCTCTATCTCTATCTCTGTCTATCTCACTATGTAGCCCAGACTGGCATCAAACTTGTGACCCTCCTGCCTCAGCCTCCTGAGTGCCTGGCTTTGTCTGCCATATTTTCATAGCTTAGCTACATAGATATGCTTTCTATCTGCTAAGTGGAATGAAACATTTTGTAATATTTCCAAGGGTCACCGTTTTCCAAAAATTAAGTATGCTGTACATTGTAGTAATCTACTTTGGGAGGGGCTGTTCTAGATAGTTCTGTTAGGGAGGGAGTTAAGTTTCACTGCGGGGTTTTGATGGAAGGAAGTGTCTAGTGTGCTTCTTTAGTCTTGCAGTGAGTTCTGAGAGGTGGGTAGGGCTATGGTGGTTGCAGAACTGTGAGTTGTAGTAAGAAAGGGCATTAATGGGAATAGGAATTAGATTCAGAAGTTTATATCTACAGCAATGGGGGTGTTGAGACGATAAGTTGTGCTTAGTAAGAAATCATGCCAGCACACCAAGATTTTGGGTGCCAGGGTGGATCAGGAAGAATGACTAAACCAGAGCAAGATAGGATGGAAGCAAAGGTACAAAGCCAGCCGTTCAGAATACGGGAGATGAAACCAAGTAACAGAAAATTAATATGAAGAGTCAGTGCTGGGTCTAGAGGATGCCAGAAAAGGGTTTCTGCATAAGTCCTTCAGGCTCCAACCAGCATGGTGTAGGGGTGGTAGGGGTGAGGTGGGACTTCCAGTGGGGAGCAGGTAGGTCAGACCATGAGAAGGATATTGCTACTCTAGGTTTATCTCCTAGGGTTGGTTAAGGCAGTGAAGCTATGCTCTCAGATTACTTAGGGTTGAATTGACCATAAATCCTGTTGGGCAGAAAGTTGGATGAGAAGGCGGACCCCTGTGTTCTCAGTGGCTGCCACACACTGACCAGGAGCCCATTCTTCATCACGCCCTCAGTGGAGTCTCTTTATTACTCTAACCTCCAGTCTTCTCAGGGATGAGTAAGGTTGCCAGCACTTCCTTATGCTGGGAGGCTGGAACGGTAGGGAGTAGGAGCTGTCATCTATTATGCTCAGTGCTGAGAGCTCCTGTGGCAAGGGTGCTATAAAGTAAATGATGGAGTTCTGAGGGACCATTTTCCTTTGGGTTTTGAAAATGAACATCCCACATTCCCCAGTTGTAGCATACATCTCTGCTACATTTTTGCCTTGGGCCATTGATTTTTGATGGGGCCCAGTGAATTGTGAAAAATCTCTCTTACTGAGTATGCTTAAATCTCAAATCAGCTGTAGAGCTTATTATATCCTTGTTAAGCATATCCCATGGTTTGTCATCAGCAGGATCATTGCTGGTCCCTGTTCCACGCCTCTTTGGTTATTGAAAATGGCTATTTAGTGCTTGTGAGTCAAAGCGCTATAGACCCAGGCCTGTGATGAGGCAGAAAAATGATACTAAGAGCCGTGGATTTGGTGTGGACGAGGAGCTGAGGGTGGCAGGGAAGAGGGACCCATGGGAAAGAGCTTCCAGGTGAACTGCTGGCTCCCCAGGGGCACTTGAGGTGTGGGTGGTTATGGTGTTGATGGAGAAAGACCTACAAAAATGGTTACTCAAGAATTAGGGCATTAGGGCCAGGAGGGGTGGTGCATGCCTTGGTCCAGGCTACTCAGGAGGTAAAGCTAGGAGGATTGTAGTCCAAGGCCAGCCCAGACAAAAGCACAAGAACTTATCTGAACAGCAAACTTAAAGCAAAAAGCAACTGGGCATGGCTTAAGTGGTAGAGTGCTTTCCTAGCAAGTTCAAGGCCTTGAGTTCAAGGCAAAACAAGAGGGCATTAGGGAGAAAGTAGAGAAAATATCCCCAAGTGATGAGGTTGACACGGGTGTGTGACGGAACGCAGATGCTGCTGACCTTCCCCAAAAAGAGTATGTAAAGACACAATTCCCAAGTTCCAAAAGAAGCTGTGGAAATCAAGTGAAAATAAGCTAGGCCTTGTATGCTGGCAATGGGTAAAGATCAAGGTCCCCATTGACTGTCCTTTCTCTCTGCAGCTTCACCAGCACGCTGGCGCTCAACGACCCCTTGCAGACCCTCTTCCAGCTCATGTCAGGGAGGATTCCACAAGCAGCCACGGTACCCTCTGTGACAGGACTCCTTCCACATCCCAGCATCCCAAGGGTTGGGCGGTGATGGGACTGCTCAGGAAAGCAGTAATGGCTTCACAAATGAAACATGAATAATAATAGTTGGATAATTTCATGTGCCTGGCCCTGTGCTAAGTGCTTTGATGACTGTTATTTCATTTAATTCTCAGAGGCAGGAGTTATCACCCCCGTTTTGCAGATGTGGAGACAGGCACAAAGGTGTAAAATGGTCCAAGATCACAGAGATAGTGAGCAATGGGGTCCAGATAGGCCCAGGTCTGTCTGACTCTAAAGACTTTGCTTTTCCCACAATACCACAATGACTTGCTTTGCTGGGGCTAGCAAAGCTGTGGTTCCCAGGGTTTCCCACAGCAGGGCTACCCTCCTTCTCTCTGGGGGAGTGCTTCTCCACTGTGCCTCCATGCTTGAGAGATAAACATGTCAGCTTTATGCTCCTGGAGTGGAGAAGGCTAAGGCCTGCTTGAGAATTTTCCTATTTAACAACTGCATCTTTTTTGCCACAAAGACTTTGTTCCTTATCTTTGAAGTCCAATGACTTTACTAGGACATATCTTGGTGTTGACTGACTGGGTGAGTTTTTACTTGAGGTACATCATGGCCTTTAAATATGTACATTCATATCTTATATATAGTTCAGGAAAATTTTCTTTAAATATACCTTTTAATAATTATCTCATTCCATTATTTAGGTTCTGCTTTCAGGAATTCCATATATACACATTATATTATATATATTTATGTATACATGTCTAGACTATGATACAAATGTGAATTTTATATATATATAAAATTTTCTCTTTAATAAAGACGTTGTTCTTTCTTCCTCCTCTTCCTTCTTCTTCTCTCTCTCTCTCATTTCCATCCTCTGTGTCCCTCACTGTATTTTCACCAGTCTCTCTTACTTTGCTTCTGTCCATTTTTGTCTTTTGATGTTTTCCCTCCTTCTTTCCTGAGCTTGCAGGTCACATTTATCTCCCCTGTAGCTCACCATCTCTTTCCTGTAGCTCACCATCTCTTTCCTGAATCCTTTGAATTGAGCATTATGCGCTTGCTTCATGGAGGCAGTCGTTGCATTGTCTTCCTTTGCCCATTATTTTTGACAGCTTTTTTCTGTATTCAAATACAAGTTTGTATTTTTCCTGACAACTTATTTTAATTAAAATGAACTTCACATTTTTGCTTTTCTAACCTTCTTATTGCTTGTGGGTAATTCTAAGAAAAGAAAAGAGAAATGATAACTTTTGTGCCCATCATTAAGTCAACGGGCCATTTTGGAACATGGAGGGTGCCTCAAAATTCAGCTGAATGGAAATTTCAGCTCTGCAATGAAACTGCATTGTGTCACACACAAAGCACTAAATAGAGAAAATGATACAATCAGCCCATGATCCACTGGGTCTCCCTGAAAAGGTAGACTTAGCTAATTTTTCTTACTTTTCAGTGAGATAACTCAGGAACTAGAGGTCATGTACCAATGTAGTATTGGATCTTAACGTATGGGAGAGTCCTTACATCCTGATATCTACTGGAAGGCTCGACTTCAGCTACTTGTGATGAGTTGTGTAGTAGAAAAAACTTGGCAACTGGGCACACAGTGTGGATCTCATCAAAGGCTTAACTAGACTTTGCTCCTTGTGAATTCGTGAACTTGGCTTTGTTACTTAATCTCACAGAGCCTCAGTTCATCTTTGTGGAGATTTTGGTACCTAACTAATAGAGTTATTGTGAAAATTAAAGGAGAGAGAGAGTATCTGAACCTATCAACCACCATGCTTGGGCCCTGCCCAAAAGATCTACTTTGTAATTTTTTTTCCCTTCAAATAATCCAGGAAGGAGACATAACTTCTAAGGTATTTTTTTTTTTTAAAGCCAGAGCTTCTTTTCTGTTTTTCTGCTTCCTAAAGATCCTGATTTACAGGTTAAAGTGAGAGTAACAATATTACCTGGCACATATGATTGTTGGCAGGAGAAATGCCATGGTTGGTAAATGAGAACTGCTATTATTATTGTGATTTATTATCACCATCGCTAGTGTCTTCATTCATGCTGCATTATCCAAATCAACAAGGAATAAGTATAGCACAGAGTTGGATAAAGCATCTTTTATTCCTTGGGATAATTATAAACTCCAAATAATTATGAACAGCTTTTACCTTCAAATCTTAGTTATTACTGTCAATCTCCTGCTCTGTCTGTCTCTGCAACAGGTTGCAGTTAGACTGGTGTACAAACCACTTCTTTCCTCGTGTGTGTGTGTGTGTATTCATAACTACTAAGGAATTGATAAAGTGCAAATCAAGTGTGAAGCTTTATGCTATGCTGTGTGCTTTATGTAACGATATTATTTTATTATCAACAGTAACCTTGTTAGGCAGAAATTATGATCTCCACTTTAGAGATGAGGAAGGTTCAAAGGTTCAAAGACATTAAAAAATGTGCTCAAGGTCATGTAGCTAGAATGAGTCAAATTGAGGGCCTGTGTTGAATATATGACACTATGTTGTTTGTTTGTTGATAGTTTCTTCCCTGAAATTCTCCTTCACTGGGGAGAAGGGCCACCCTCAGGCCAGCAGCTCACAGGCAAGTACCATTTATGTGGGGCTCCTTCACATTCCTGCTGCTCTGCTGACTCTCTGCTGACCCCCTGGTGGAATCTTTAGCCTCTGCATCGCCACCAGTGAATGGGGCAAGAGGAAAATACAAGGAGTTCGCGTCCTGACTGGGCTCTTTTACTTGATTTTCTCATCCCAAAGTGGAAATAGGAAGTAGACCTTATAGGGTTGTTGTAAAGGTTAAATAAAATGATGTATGTGAAAGGACTTTGTAAAACCAGGACTTTGACATGGGCTAAAGTGGTTTCCTCTACTCATAAGACAAAGATGTTTCATCTTCCCTCTCCCACTGAAATATCAAAGGGTCTTTATCTATTTGAGGTGAAGATATTGGGTATACATTAGAAAATTAGCATACGACTAATAATATAATTTAATTTACCTCCCAATACCTTATGTACTTATGATGTATGTGTGGATGGATGCATGCATGCACGTGTCTGTCTGCTTGTCCTTCCTGGAGTTTTGCTCTTTTGTTGAGTCAGGGTCTCACTATGTAGGTCACTGCCTCAAACACACCATCCTCCTGCCTCAGGACCCCAAGTGCTGGAATATAGGCATGTACCACATCAGCCCACACCCTCACCTTTTAAGGAGAATTCTAAAGCTATGAATGGCAACATTGCAGATGGTGTAGTTGGAATTCCTTGACCACCTCCATACCAAAAAATAGACAACAACCTTCTTTACTTCCATGCTGGGTGGTACTAAATAATTCTATAAATCTTCATAATTTTTCTGCTATTTTTCAGTGTTGTGGGGACAAGCAGTGGGGAGACTGGAGACCCCACTTAGCTGTGATTCTGTCAAATCAGGCTGGGGACTCGGAGTTGTATCAGAAAGCAATTGTCACCATGGGGGACACCCTAGGTAAGCAAAAAGTAACACTGCTCTGCTCCCCCCACCTTTCCAGGGAACCTACAGGCCAGCTTCAAACACCTGTCCTTAGAGTCTTAGATTCTGTGTAGGGCCGGTCTATGACCCAGGAGATTTCATGTTTTGGAGGTAAGAAACTTCAGGGAAAAGAGAGTCTTCCCTGTACCACTGCATCCCAGAATTTCCTGTATAAGACATTGTACTCCTACGATACAGACTTCTCTCAGAAGTTGATTTTCTAGCCCTGGGTGCAACTCCCTTGTACATGGAGTTAACCCAGGAGGCAATTCTGTTGTTTTCAGTTTTTTTCTTTCTCTGATATTTTTCTTCTTCTTCTTTTTTTTTCCTTCATGGTACTGGGATTTGAACTCAGGGCCTCACGCTGTTAGGCAGACACTCTACCAATTGAGCCACTCAGCCAGCCCTCCCAGTGGTCAGTTCTGTAATCTTTATTTCTCTTACCTCTCTGTGAACAAGGTCTTATAAGCACTGAGGGGTTATTGGACATTCCAGAAAAGCAGTTCTCAAATTTGGTCAAGAGGCAGAACCTCTCCACATGTTCCTTGTGAAACTTTGTGAACCGTTGCTGTTAAACTGGAAAAAGACAGCTGTGGCAAGTGATGGCTGGTCATTCAGTATCCCGAATGACAGGGAACCTGTGTTTGTTGAGCTCTTCTTGGGTACCAGGCACTTTACTTACTAGAATTTAAAATTCAATTTTGAGGCAATGGAAAATGTATGGGAGAACAGTTTTCTTTTCTATAAGCACTAGGAAAAGCCTTCTACTATTTTGATTTTGGCAGGGGGAGTAACGCCCCAGTGTAAGAACTGCCACTCGCGGTGGTTCACCCTTCTCAGGTGTAGGTATCTCTTCTCCCTTCTCATCCTTAGGAAGGGCTAACATGCTTAAAAAATTCCCAGTGAAAAACCCATTAGGCGGAATGTGCCTGATTCTGGCTGAAAAGGATTGTAATATCTGAGGTGATATCTGGTGGGGAGGGTGTGTGACTTCTGCTATGAGAAGTCACTTGGCTGTTCTCATGATCCCCAAGGCTCCTCTTCCATCTCTGTCCCTCTTAGATGGTGGGGCCCGGCCTGGGTGTGTTCCATGACTGCGTCTTTCTCTGCTTCTCCTGCAGCTGGGAAAGGGCTTGTGGAAGCTGCTCACTTCTGCTACCTCATGGCTCATGTGTCCTTTGGCCACTATACTGTGAAGACAGACCATTTGGTGCTGCTGGGCAGTAGCCACAGGTATGTGACTTTAAGAAAATGGCAGAGATATTTTCTATGGGATTGTCTTAGCCTCGTTGGGTTTTGTGGCTTCAGTTTTCATTTTCTTGTGTGAATTTCTGCTATGGCTGGTTCACTCTGGGTTGTTTACTGACCAGGGGGCTGCAGGCCTCAGACGCTGCTCTGGGAAGCTGCCAGCTGCTACTTTTTGTGGTGTATTGTGCCCTTATGGCCACTGGGTGGCAGCCTGGCTCCACAATCAGATTGTCTCAAAAAAAAAAAGAAAAAAATTGCAGGTAGCAGCTCACGCTCTGTGTAGGCAGCCCTGGCACCGTTCAGGGACCCCGCTCAAAACTAGAAACCACAAGTTTATGTGAATCCCTCTTTGGGGCCCCAGCACCTCTACACAGACCTGGTGCAAGCTTCTTAGAGCCGTTCCACTGGTCATTTACTCTGTGCCGGCCATGACATCAGGTTTTTCACCCAGAGGAATTTAATAAGCCCGTAGAGAATGAACGATGGACAGACAGACAAACCTCCTCCTGAGTGGCCCTCCATATTCTGAATCTCTCTACCCCCTTCCCCATAATAGTTAAAATTCACCAAGCAATTACGTGGTGCTGGTCATTTTCTTTGAACTATTTTCTTTGTCACACATTTGCCCTATGAAGAAGGTATATTCTTAATCTTCACTTATGGAGGAGGGAAACCAAGGCACAGAGAGCTTAAAAAACTTGTGTAAGTTCAGTTGGTTAGGGTCAGGTTGGGCTGCAGAGCCTGTATTTGTAGACATTGTTCCCAAACTGCCCACGCTGTCGCAGTGACTGTGTTCTCTGGAGGTCCTGGGCTCGGACAGCACCGAGTTGGCTTATCAAAATAGGTCACATGGGCCAAACATGACACTGAGGTGCTTGGGCTAACATGTTTCCCTCCCATGTTCGTGACGTATAGGAAATTTCTGGACACCATGTCCTAACTCCCCGGAGTCTCCCTGGTGACAGTGATGCTTGGCTGCATGGCAAGCTGTTGAGTAAAGAGATTTAGGGGCACGCAGGATGCTCGGGATGCCTCAGATCACATTCCACCTTGTCCTCTTCCTCCTTGATGGAATGAACTTCCCATGCGAGGACTGTCATTTACTTTCTGGTTCAATCCATCTCCCCATTCTCTGCCAGGCCATCTTTCCTCAGTACTCCTGGAGGAGCACATGGCTTCTTCTTTCGTGCCTGTTTTCTGTGACTGAGGTGACTTTTGGGGGGCTTGCCAGGGCTTTTTGTGGGGCACAAAGGCTGGTCCTTGGTGTGTCCCATACAGCCTCACCATTCGGCAAAGGAGGTGGAAGACATCCTTCCTGCAGTCTTTGCCTTCCAGTGACTCTCCCAGTTCTGTCCCTTTCCCAGACTCAAGAGGGTGGAGGGCAAGGAGGCAAAACAGCCATTCTGGGGCCCACAGTCTCTTTCCTGTCTTGGAGCTGCCTGGGAGCATCCCAGGATGGACACTGCACCATGAGAGGGTGCAGTTAGTGTGTGGCTCTCTACCAGGACAGAGCCCCGCCCCCATCTCACCCTCTGTCATTGTTATTCCCTGGTTTTAGTCAAGAGTTTTTGAAATTTGCAACCACTGAGGCTATCCAGAGGACGGAAATCTTCGAGTACTGCCAGATGCTGGGCCACTCCAAATCCTTCATTCCTTCTTTCCAGGTAACTGAAACCAGCCCAGGCTGCCAGCCTAGTGGTGTCTGATGGCTGTGGGCAGCTTTGCTCTTTGGCACGTTATATGGAGGGCAAAGTCACCTACTGCATATTTCTTCATTTGTGTGCGAGTAAGAAGGTTTAGGACTTCCTTTTATGTCCTTAAAGTTCTGTATTTTGCAATATGAAGGTGAAACCTTGCAGAGGCCTCTCTGCGGGAGGCTCCTGCCTCACTCTCAACACACGGATGTTGTGCTGCACTTCTGGACCCCGGTGTTCTGGGCCTGGTCCTTGCTCCTGCTGTCCACCCTCTCTGCTCATCTCCTGCCAGCAGCTCCACCCTTTTCTCCTCAGCCTCTGCAGCCATCCTGCCCTGGAAGATGAGGGAGTGTGACATCCACCCATGGCTGCTCAGCCTTCCCCTCCTGACGACTCCTCCCACCTTGACCTTTAACCTTCTTTCTCTTCTCTCAGGGCTCCAGCTTACAGGTGGCATCTATACTGCAGGTTCTCTCCTCTCTTCTCAACTTCTCTACCTGGACCACTGTCACTTAAAAAACTTATAATGACTGGTGCTGACATCACATCTTCCTCCTTCAAGACCCTGCACCACAAATCCTAGTCTGGTTACTCTTGCTGATGTGACAAAGGTGGCCCTCAGTGGTCTAGGCTGTGAAATGGGAGTGACAGTACAGTCTGTGCAATGGGGCTGGCATGGCGTTAGTACACTAGAATGCTGTGGGCACAGAGCAATGGCTCTCATATTGACATGACTGCAGCCACAGCAGTGGCTCCAGGGCCTCCACTGGACATTTAATTCACTGTGCCCTGCATTCTTTCCTTTTCAAGATAAATGGAATTATCTTCTTTAGGCCCAGGCCTTTTCTAATGACTCTTTGTATCTCTTTTAGTAGGTATTGGGTGTGTACACAACAACAGTAACAAAAGGCACACATGTATACACAACACAAAACAAATGTAATCTTAGGAATGAATTACTGCATTCTAAAGAAATTCTCTCTTCTTTGAGAGCTTTGTCTAAGACTTCCTTTTCTAGCAAAGCTTTGCCTATTAGCTCCTCCTTGTAGATCCATTACTTGTGTTCTGGTCTCTACTTTCCCTTCTTTATTCATCTTACTTGCCAGTTATTTTGGTTCTGCTTTGGGCTGATAGGAATGAGATTAGCTCATTTTATTGCATGTGTGGCATTGTGAATTATGCTTCTTGTGTATTAGTTTTAATCCTGTGAGGTAGGCATGATCTACTCTCACCCTTTTACAAAAGAGGAACTGAGGCTCACTTCTCCTGGATACCATTTGTTGTAAGCATTTTGTATGGATTTTCTCATTTATTGCACAGCACCAAGGGAGGAGGTGGTGGTATTATTTCTCATGCCAGAGTGAGGAAATTGAGGCACAGAGAGCTGAAGCAACTAGTCCAATGTTCCACACCTACTGTGGAGTTTGGATGTGATTGGGTCTTCCTGACCACAAAGCCCTCACACTTGTTCTCGCCCTGCACTCCTGCTTCCTGTGTTTGCCCATACTCTCCTCTGGGCTTTATGCCTTTTGCTTATTGTATGTGTCCTGGTGCTTGGGGCTGTGCTCCACACAGCAGGCTCTCTGGGGATGTGAGCTGCTGAATAAGAAGTACTGCAGTGCCTTTCCACAGTGACCAGGGCCCGGGAAGACAAGCTGATGTGATCCCCATCCTTTTCTTCATAATGCAGGGACTGCAGTCTGGATTTGGAGTTGGGCCCATCCACAGATCAAATATCCCAAATGGCACAGGGCCTTGATATTTGGATGCCAGAGTTAGCAGAAGCTGGCAGTCAGCTGACTTCTAAGAAGTCTTATCTACATTTCTCTCTCTCTCTCCATCCCTGCCTGGATGGACTCCTCACTGGCCCCGTTCCTCATTACAGGTGTATAAGCTCCTTTATGCTTCCCGTCTGGCAGATTATGGTCTGGTGTCCCAGGCCTTGCATTACTGTGAAGTCATTGGTGCAGCTGTCCTGAGCCAGGGAGAGAGCAGTCACCCTGTGCTATTAGTGGAGCTCATCAAGGTGAGCATCTCAAAAGTGTTCTCTGCAGGTGTTTTATCTTCAGTGTTCAGAGAAAGCCATTGTAGAGCAGCTTAGACTCCACATTTCATCTTCTTTGAACATGCTGCAAAATTGGAGCCCATGGCTGTCTTTGACCACATATGCATGCTTGCGTGTGATAAGCTGAGGCCCGACATGCACAAAGAAGGATGTGCTGAGCAGGGGGCGGTGGGGTTGGAGAGGGGGAACTGCTCGAGAAATTTATTCTTTCGTATACTTTTCTGGTATAGTAAAAATGTGCACTATGGTGAGCTGTTCTAATTACAAAAGCGGGGCTTAGAAAATATATTTTAGTGATTAAAACAAGAAATGATCCTTATTAAAATGCTTTTAAATGCATGGAATATTTTATCACATGTGGGATACATTTAAAAAAGAAAACAAAAACATATCAACCCTTAGTTCCTGGGAAAGAAAGCAGCAATCAGACAAATAGTGGTTCCAATTAATTGAAGAAAAATCCATTAGCTAGAGAGTGAAAAGGCAGCTTAAATCTCTGTTTTGCCTTAGATGAGGCCCAATTGTTGGAGTCTGTGACCAATAAAATCCATGCTGCTGGGCTGCCATGCCCTGAGGTTGGTTGCAAGGAGCTCAGGGACCCAGGGCAGATGACTGAATGTGTCAACATCCCCGGGAAGTTTGTTAGAACTGCAGATATTGGGCCCCGCTTAGGATGCAGGCGTTGGAATTAGCATTTTTAACAAGGTCCTGGGTGATTCCTGTGCCCACCAAAGTTCCAGAGGCCTCTCACAGAGAGGACAGCTTTGCAGAGCAACAAGCCAGTCACTAGTATCTAATGCCAAAATGGGATAGTTGTTTATTTATGTGGCAATTTTGGGAGGATATCTACTGACTTTTTTATTTCTCAATTATTCTTTATAATCTAATTTACAAGTGAATTATGATTTTCCTTTTTCCTGATGGCCTTTCTCCCCCATTGCCTCTCTACATTTCTTTTTTTCTCTTCTTGCCCCTCTTACTTTCTGACTCAAACCTGACTGGATACCTGCATAGCTCGCAGAGAAACTGAAGCTGTCAGATCCTCTGGTTTTAGAAAGACGCCATGGGGACAGGAACCTGGAGCCAGATTGGCTAGTGCAGTTGCGAAGGCGACACAAGGATCTAGAGGTAAGTAGAGTGGAGCCAGAGGTCAGTGGGGTGGGCCTGGCCTCTGTTTCCCTCTTCACTCCTCTAGTCAGAGATAAGCATAGCAAGTGCCCAGACCCCTGTCCATTCCCCATCCCTATGGAGTCTCCCATCACTCTGAGGCACAGTCTGTGTCCTTGGAAGGGTGGACTCTGGCTTTTCTGTCCCTGTTTCTCTTCCACATTTGCATGTGACACAGAGAGGCGCTCTTCCAAACGACTCCTGCCATCCTTTTCTGAGGTGCCAGAGAATGTTTCACAACCATCAAAGCTTCCCATCTCTGTTAGGAACAATGGATCACAGTGGACCTGTGTCACTTTCATGTAATGTAGGGCAATTGCTTAAAAGACTTCCGGGCCTTTCCTTTTGTTCTGACAATTGCAAAGTCTGCTGGCCATAATCAGAAGAGTAATTGGAGCAGGGCCTCCCCATGTTCTTTCTTCCACTCTGCTCTGAAGGAAGGCCAAAGTGAACTTTAAAAAGCACACATCACCTTTTCTCTCTCCCTCTGCTGCAGACTATGTGGCCTATAATTTAGCTCCTTGCTCTGGGGAGGATGGATGACATGGGCTGTAGCCATCTCTGACTGCTCTGAGCAGAGATGGGAGGCCTGGGAGTGAGTGTCCCCTCCACGGGACGCCAGGACCTGAGCAACAGCTGAGGCTCTCTTCTCTAGTCACTCACTCCCCCTCGAGGTTTCTTGGTGACTTAATTTTTCAACTACCTTGTTCCTTGTCCCTGTTGCTTAAAGGATTTTATTTTATTTTAAACAGCAAAAGGTAGCAGGAGACACTGGAGTTCCTCATTCTGCTCGCTCAGATATTTTGGGAACCAGAGGAACAACAACAGGTACTCAAAATGATGAACTGACACTTGGGATCTGACTGTAGGAGATAAAATAATTTAGGAAACAGCTACCTTTCCTTTCCCAAGGTGCCTTCCTTGTCTGTGTAAATCCAACCCATTGGTCCAGGTACCTTCTCCACACAGCTCCTGTGGCCTCACACATTCCTGTTTCTGCTTCACAGTCTAGGTTTTTTAATACCTGAAAATTTTACATGTTGCATTGCTAGGTAATTGTTTTGCCTAGGTTAAAACCTCTCTCCAGCTGGATAGACTTCTTGAGGCCAGAGATTGTGGGTTATTTGCATTTTACATTAGTGTTGTGACATGGGAAGAGTTGAAGATTTTTGAGCAATGATTGTCATATAACTGTAAAATAAGCATGTTTTGAGATGTTTTCCCAATATCCCTTCTCCTCTTGGGATGCCTATGAGTGGCTGGTCGTAGGTATCACATCCCCAGTTAACTCCATATCCTTCCCCCAAGTTAACTCATGGTTGGGTCAGACAAGGGATTTTATGTTATCTCTTCCAGTCTTTTGGACTTCCTTCAGGGATGGACAAAGGGAGGAAAGAGAGGAGAGGGAAGGAAGGGAAGGCCTGGTTTCTGTTTCTTGGCTTTGTGAGAGCCAGGCTGGTGTCACTGGATGATGGGGCTTCTCATAGCCCTGACTGCTGTGCTGTTGCCCAGTGGGGCAGGTAGACTAGATGCCCACACCAGTCCTGTGACCTTGTGCCAATCATTTCACACATTCACACCTTAATTAACCTTCTCAGCAGGCTATGATTCCTTAAAAATTAGCCATCATTTCTAAGGTCTAATTTTCCTTCTTCCTTTTTTTGCAGTACTGGGGATTGAACTCAGGGCCTGCTTACTTGCTAGGCAAGTGTGGTATCACTTGAGCCATGCCCCCAGTTCTTTGGCTTTTAGTTTGCTATTCAGACAGGTCTTGTGCTAACTTTGCCCAAGCTGGCCTTGGACCTCGATCCCTATCTCTGCCTTCCAAGTAGCTAGAATTAATAGGTGTGAGCCACCCTGCCTGACTCATTTGAGTTTTTTAACTGTAAACTTTCTAAATTTCAAATACCCATGCCCACTAGGAACTCCTTAAAGGAGAGGGCTTACTTGAAAATTAAAAGATGTGGAGTAAGATGGGGTGGTAGTTTCTGTCCTCCTGCATGATGGATTGAGGGTTCAGAGATCATCCAAGGCTGTGAGGAAATAATTTTGAAATGGCAGTAAGAGGTGTCACAGTCATTCTGTGCTTTGCTTGTCATCACAGTAATGGAAACCACATCAAGCAGTCAGTCCTTTTGACTGCTTTCTAAAGAGCACAGAGCAGGGATGTTTCTGGCATGGTTAGTCTGCAAATGCCACATTTCAGGTCTCACTTCTTCCTCTGTCTTTGTCTCAGACACTGTCTACCAGGATCTTTTGGGACAGCAAGGCAACTCAGAAGACCCTGGGCACCAGTCAGCCCTGTGGCCAACACCTGAGCAGACAGGCATTGCCCAGTCTAGCCCACAGCAGTCCTTTCCCCTACAGCTGGACCCTTACCCAGCAGGAGGCATTCCAGGGCACATAGGGGTCCCAGTACCTCTTAACTCTGTTCCTGAGACCCACCTCCCAGGGACCAGTGGTGGCATCAGCAGCATGGCAGTAACAGGGGATGCTGAAGGAACAGTCGGGGAGGATACACTACAGCTCCATCCCACCCTGGGTAAGACCTGCCAGCTGGACTGGACACATTGGGGATGGAGCCTTGGCAGGGAGGAAGCAGGTGAGGGAGGTGAAGGGACCAGTGGGAGGAAGTGAGGTTGGAGCTAGTAGAGATAGTCAGAGGTGTGCCTGTCATTGAGGGCTGGCTCCTTGTTAACCCACATGCTGGTTCTTTGCATGCCCCTCAATGAGTGTGCCCTCTGCCAGTCCACCTACCTCTCCAGTAGGACAAACACAGCCACTTCTGCCCTATCCTTGAAAAGCTCCATAGTTTCTAATGGAGAGTCTGTAGGGCGGAGTAAAGAAAATGCCATATGGCTCAGAATCCCCATTACTCTTCTTCAGACTGGTTGGAAAAAAAATTTTGAATTGCTTTCTTTGTTTCTCTTTGATGCTCTAGGAGAGGACACAGCCCCTCAGGAACTCTCCCAGGATCCTGACGGTCACAAGGTCATTTCTGAACCTCAGGTGACAGGACAAGACAGAAAAGATGCCCAGGCCACTCTGTTGTTTCTGCTTTTTACTACCTGCCTCTGGTTTCTTAGTCACATGCTAGCTCCACTTTGACACCAGGAGCTCTGTCTCCCTTTGTTTCTTTCCACGCCAGACCTGGGAGTTGGGAAGGAGGCTGAATTTTTGCTTCTGCTCATCCCATCCTCTTGTCCTTGAGGGAAGGGAGCAACAAAGCTGGTTTAGTGTTGGGCTCACAGATAGATCTTGGTCCCTATGCAATCTCTTCTTGCTACTGAACCAAAAGCTCACTGTACCCTGCCATGTTGCAGTCACAAAAGAGTCTTGGTATTTGTTTCCTTATTTTAACTTTTACCTTGCTTCATGTCAAAGAAAGCTCTATGGTAGCTGTGGATGCCTGTTTCTATCTTTTCTCCTCAGTTAGGCTGTAAGGTGTCGGAGGGAACCGTGTCTAATTATTCCACCTAGCTGTTAGCTGGATGCACCCCTTCCCTCAGCAGTGGGCAGCTTTGATGCCAAACTTAAGTTATTTTGCAGCTTTGCCTGGTTGGAAACTTATATCATATTGCATTTCAAGCAGTAATGGGCTACAGGCCTTAAATTTTATTGTTGTTTTCTTTCTGACAGGAAAAGTAGTACATGAGTATTACAGAAAAATTACAAAATAAAATATCATATAAAGAACCAAATAAACTGCCAGGCATGATGAATCAAGCCTGTAATCATAATTACTTGGGAGGCTGAGATCATGAGGATCATAATTCAAAGCCAACTTGGGCAAAAAAGTTCATAAGACCCCATCTCAACCAATAACTGGGCAGGTGGTGTACACCTGTTATCCCAGCTATGGTGGGAAGTATAAAATGAGAGGATGATGGTCCAGGCTACTCTAGGCAAAAAGTGAGACCCTATCTCCAAAATATCCAGAGCAAAAGGGCTGGAGACAACTCAAGTGGTAGAGCGCCTGTCTAGTAAGTGCAGAGCCCTGAGTTCAGATTCCAGTATCGACAATGTCCCGTCTCCCCAAAAAAATCCCAAATGAACATCACTCATAATACTATTGTCAAATATTTTGATTCTTTTCTCATTATGTTTTCTGTATATGTGTATATATACACACACAATGTATGCTTTAAAATGGTTAAAAAAAGTATGTATAAAGCTTTATTTTCTATGTTACTTAGCACAATAAGCTTTTTTATTATTCATAAATATGATTTTTAATATTTATGTGACAAAATCCATTGTGTGAAGGTTCTGGCATTCATCCACAAGTTTTTGCTGAGTTCCTATAATCTATCAGGCACTTTAGTAGGGCTGGGGTGCATCAGTGAACAGACACACTACCCTCACACACTGATGTATGGGGGAGGTGACCAGAAATGAACTACTCCGTGCTCAGGGGATTTGCTTTAGAGGGAATGTGTAAAGAGGTGTCTCTGAGGAGGTCTTTGAGCAGAGATCAGAATGGAGTGTGGAAATGAGCCTGGTAACTATCAAGGGCACAGTGTCGCAGCAGCGAGGACAACCACAGCAAAGGTCCTGAGTGGGTGCACTTGGATTAGTCAAGGAAGAGCAAGAGATTCACTATGCCTGGAAAATGGGGTGCGGTAGGGGAGAGCACTAAGAAAAGGACCTCCTCTTCTTCTCTACCTCTTTCTTTCTATTCTCTCTCCCTTTCTCCCTTCCTGTCTTCCTGTCTTTCTTACTTTCACTCATATACAGTACACACAATGGCCATCCTGGCATATAAACTCTTGTCTATGTCAATAAGGAGAAGTTCTCAAGAGAGCCAGACTGCTTAGGTAGAACCTGTTCTGTGTTAGGTACTGGTTGTGTGACCTGAAGAGTAGGTTGCTTCACCCTTCTATGTCTTACTTTTTTCATTTTACAAACTAGATGATGATAATGATATCTACCTCAGAATATAGAAGGATTAAGTGGATCACTATATATAAGGTACTTAGGAGAGTGCCTGGCATGTTGGCGATACTAAACTTATTAGAATAAAAACAGTATTTTCTGTATTTTGTCAAAGTGTTTTCCAAAGTTTGTGCCAGTTATGCTTTATGGAGAGTACTAAGTGCAAATCTAACACGGAAAGGCAATAGGTTTCATGATTACACTTAAGCAGGTTACCTAGAATAGGCAAATTCATGGAGACAGGAAGTAGAGTAGAGTGAGGTGACCAGGGGCTGGGGACAAGGGACGTGGAGTTAGTGTCTTTAAACACTAACCTCTAAAGGTACAGAGTTGCTGTTGGGAGTGATAGAAAGCTCTGGAGACGAATGGAGCTGATGGCTGTATGCCGTCGTGGATAGACTTAAGGCCATTGAGCCTTAACCTATAAGTAGTTAAAGAGTAAGCCTTATGCTATGTATGTTTTAGCACAATAAAGAAAAGTTAAAATGAAGTGCCATGGTGTATTTTGCTTCCCTCCTGTGCTCTTGAGTGAGCCAGTTCAGATCTAAGGGAGCTAAGCTTGCTGGTTGCCACAGTCGCTGTTTTTTGGGTTTGGGGTCTCTGTGGTGTGTTTCCAGGCCTTTTTTGTCTACTCCAGGCCTCAGCACAGTTCTGGGGACTAGATTCTAGAGTGGTCACACAACAGACAAAAATGCCCTAAGGTTGGACTGGAGGTGTGGTTCCAGTTGTAGAGTGCCTGCTTGAAGCCCTGAGTTCAAACCCCAGTCCAACCAAAAGAAAAAATGCCTCACAGTTAAAGATAACAAGAAGACTGGTCTTGGGTCCTGTCCTTGTCCCTATACCTTTGGAAAGACATTTTTCTTTTTTTTTACTTTTTACTCTTTTTATTTATGTTGATCTTTTTATGACTTTCAGTTAATACTTTGTTTCTCTCTTTTTCTTCCTTAATAATAATATTTAGGATTGAACTTTTTTTTTACAATTGCCACAGTATTTATAATTATTAGCATTTTATTTTTTTTTCATTTTTCTTTTATTATTCATATGTGCATACAAGGCTTGGTTCATTTCTCCCCCCTGCCCCCACCCCCTCCCTTACCACC